TCTCAGCACTAACCATGGCTCCTTGATGCTCTCCCCTGCTGCCTGGGGACCCAATAACATTTTTCTCCCATTTCGGCCCGTTTAGACCATGTAAGTTGACATTTTATTTCTACGGCTGTATAAGTCCTTTCTGCACTTTGTAGTAATTAATTCTCAAAGTGAACGTGCTGTAGGGTAGGCCCATACTGTTTATTTGAATTTTGGACTCTTCTGTTTCAGTCAGATTTGGTATACTTCATATTCCCATATACCAATATAAACACCTTTTACCAATATAAAATACGTATATAATTGTCTGCTTTGGTACAAAGCACCTACATATCACAGCTTACCCCAAATGGACATTTGGAGAGAGAATGGCAGCTGGGCTAGTAGATAAACTAAACAATAAAGAGAGAATATGGGGGGAAAAAGAGCTTCAGGGCTTTGCTGGGATCCATTTTAGTACTAGCCTAGCCAGACGTCAAACATTTCTAGTACCACAGATGAGGACATCATTTGGAGAGATGGATGCATCCATCATCTGAAGCCACTGGATACGTCTTGTCTTTGATGCTCCTTTTTTTTATTCCATGCCCCCCAAGCAACTTGCTCAGCCTTGGAAATGGTGCTTTCCTGAAGAGGGTATGCCTTAGTGACCACACTGAGGATGCCAGTGCCGTGTATTTCTGATTTGTGTGTCAGTGGTATTTTTCACTGTAAATGAATACATTAGCCTTGTGGTGTCTGCCTCAGGTTTGTGTGTTTTGGTTAATTCAGGTCTCTTAGGGCCAGATAGTCCTTGGGGACAAAGAGCAACAATCATAAAGCCACTTCCAGCTCTCTAACACAGCTCTGCTACTGCCTGTTGTATGTACATTCTCCCGACTTCCGTACTGGTAGTGTTAACCACTCTTGTAGTAGGACAAAAAACAAGCGCGCATTTGATTGGGCCAAATCACTTGTGAGTATGTCTCTGATTCTTATTCAGTGAATGGTGAGGAACAAAAGCAGAATTGGACAGTGGAGTGTTGCTACTGCTAGCATTGGCACACCAAGTGACACAGCTCTAGTTTCACAACTTCCTTTTAACACTTTAGAGCAGACCCTCTTTATCCACGGTTTTGCTTTCCAGTTTCAGTTACCCATGGTCAACCATGGTCCGAATATATTAAATGGAAAATTACAGAAATAAATAATTCGTAAGTTTTAAATTGCGTGTTGTTCTGAGTAGTGTGATGAAATCTCACGCAATCCTGCTTTGTCCCACCTGGGATGTGAGTCATCCCTTTGTCCAGTGTATCCTTGCTGTATATGCTACCTACCTGCACGTTAGTCACTGAGTAACCCTCTCGTTTGTCAGACTGTATGTTATTGCAGTGATTGTGTTCAAGTCACCCTCATATTACTTAATAATGGCCCTAACACACGAGTAGTGATGCCGGCAATTCAGATATGCCAAAGAGAAGCTGTAAAGTACTTCCTTTACATGAAAAGATATGTATGTATAGGAAAAATATAATATTCAGTAACACCTTGGTTTGTGAGCGTAATTCTTTCCAGAAACAAACTATTCGTATTGCAAGACATCGCTCGTTTACCATGTTAAATGTATTAGAAATGTTTGCTCGTCTTGCAGAACACTCGCACACCAAGTTATTCACAATCCAAGGTTTTACTGTATATAGGGTTTGTTACTATCTGAGATTTCGGCATCCACTGTGTGTCTTGGAACGTATTCCCCCCCAGGATAAGGAGGAGCTACTGTAATGCTGTTCTGAGTACCTCTAACCTCAGGAAAACATTGCCCTAAGGTACTTTTGAAGCAGAAAATAACTTGATTGAATACATACTATATTAAATAGATACAGTGTACTAAGCTCTGAGCTAAGAACTTTATATATGGGTATGCTCTTTAAATTCATCTCAGCAGCTCTCCAGGAGTAGGTATTATCAGAAAGATGTCACAGGGTAACACAGCCAGGGATTTGAACCAAGCTCCCTCTTCCAAAGACCATGCTTTTAACAACTGTTATGCTGCCTGGTGGTTAAGAGCACTCTGTTATTAGCTGTGTAATTTCAACTCTTCACCCAAGGTTAGAGGTTAGGTCTCAAACTGAGTATTACAATAAAATATTGAATTCATATGATATATTACCTATGAAAACTGACAAAAGTAGGTTAAGTGTCATATAATGGTAAAGTCAAGAGATTATCACTGTTTTCTTGGGACATTGTAGTGGCCTGGGACTTCATAAATGTTCTTACTGGTTTCATGAATATGTAATGCTATTGTGGAAAAAATAGAACTCAGACCATCTTCCTTGGCCACTGCCTTCCTGGCAAAGTCAAACTTTATTGTCCTTTTAAAATGTCTAAAGGGCCGGCCGAGTGGCTCAGTTGGTTAAGAGCTCGCTCAAGAGTTTGAGCTCTGAGCAACAGCGGTTCGATTGCCGGCCCGATTGCTGAGCAGCCGCTAAGCTGCCAACAGGTGGCAGGATGGCTCAGCTCAAAAAAAATCAAATCAAATCAAATCAAATGTCTAAAGCTATATATATTCACTCAAGAAAAATCAGAAAATATAAACAAAAAAAGGAATAAAGCAAAAACTCCTACAATCCTATTTATTCCAAAATAACTATTTTTAATAGCCTGGTATATATGCTTTCAAACCCTATTCTGTGTGTGTGTGTGTGTGTGTGTGTGTGTGTGTGTATGTGAATTTCCAGTGGAATCACATAATGCACATAGTTCTGTAAGTGCTTTTTTTGTTTGATATTTCTCTTCTTCTTCTGGCTGGTCAAGTAAATAAAATGACATTAGACAGATTAATAGGAGAAAATGGCCAAATTTAATTATGTGTCCATATAGGTGTTCCATAAGAATATGGGGCTGCACAGACCTAATGAAAAAAGGGGGATAGTAGTTTGGGACTTGAAAGAGGAGGAAGGCAATTCATACAGAGATGGAAAAGCACGTTTGCTGGGCCATCTTTAACAATGAAACACAGAGAGCACTTTGATCAGAGGGGCCTTGCTAGGTTCCTCTGTCTATCACACCTAGTTTATATTAAACTCTAGTTATCTATGATGATAGCTCCCTCCCTAAAGCAGGTCCTCTGTCAGTTAGAGGAAGGGCAAAGGTTCTTTCTGAGTCTTTTCTTTCTTAAAAGCCACCAGTTTAAAATAACCCATATCCCAAAGAGGCATATTATGGGGTGGCAAACTCTGCTCCCCTTCAATATACAGTCATGCCACTTAACAACGGGGATGTGTCCTGAGAAATGCATCATTAGGCGTTTTTATCTTGCAAAATTCGTAGAGTGTACTTACACAAACCTAGATGGTATAGCCTGCTACTATAATTGTCTGTGCTATACTTTTACATGACTGGCAGCTCAGGATTATTTACACCAGCATCAGCACAAACATGTAACATATTGCAATACAACGTTATGATGGCCACAACATCACTAGGCAATATGAATTTTTGAGTTCCATTATAATCTTATGGGACCATCATCGTATATACAGTCTGTCATTAACCAAAATGTTATGCAGCACATGACTATGCTGTATTGTAAACATCTGTACAGATGGTCCCTGAATTGCAAAGTTTCAACTTAAGATTTTTCAACTTTACCATGGTTCAAAAGCCGTACGCGTTTACTAGAAACCAGCTAGGCTAAGCTATGATGTTTGGTAGGTTAGGTGTATGAAATGCCTTTATAATTTACAAAATTTCTACTTAATGATGGGTTTATCGGGTGTAACCCCATCATAAGTCTAGAGCCGCGGTTCTCAACCTTCCTAATGCCGCAGCCCCTTAATACAGTTCCTCATGTTGTGATGACCCCCAACCATAAAATTATTTTCGTTGCTACTCTATAATTGTAATTTTGCTACTGTTATGAATCGTAATGTAAGTATCTTTTTGTTTTTCGATGGTCTTAGGCCCCTGTGAAAGGGTCGTTCAACCCCCAAAGGGGTCGTGACCCACAGGTTGAGAACCGCTGGTCTAGAGCATCTGTATGTCCGTTTTTCAGACTTGACTTTTCTGAACTCCAAGTTCGCCAGCTATAGAAAAGCAAATAGCGTAAAAGCACATTGTAAGACTTCATTAGTAATAGAGTGGATTAGTTTTTTTTTCTCTTATGCTAAATTCATCCTTTTTGTCAAAATACTGTCTTCAAATACTCTATAAGAACCTTTACCACATTAGTAGTTTTTGAAATGCTTGTATCCCTGAATTCTTCAAGATTGGCCCTCTGTATCTTTGGGTCCCCAAGGCCTATCACAATTCCTGGCCCATAATAGTGCTCAGTAATTGTTGAGACTAATATTTGTCATTATCACCACTGAATCTTTTAGAAGTTTGTTGTTCTTGATCTCTGATTAAGTTAATATTATCAAAATGTGCTGCTGCTCTTTTTGGGTTTTTAACATTCCTTGTCAAGAAGTACCATTCCCAGGCTGGCCAAGTGGCTCAGTTGGTTAAGAGCACGAGCTCTGAGCAACAGGGTCTCCGGTTGGATTCCCACATGGGCCAGTGAGCTGCGCCCAAGCTGAGATGCCACTGAGCTGGCAACAGGTGGCAGGATGGCTCAGCTGGTGAGAGCACGTGCTCCTAACAACAAGGTTGCCACTTGACTCCTGCGTGGGATGGTGGGCTGCGCCCACCCACAACTAATATTGAAGCATGGCACCTTGAGCTGAGCGGCCACAAACTGGATGGTGACTGGACTTGGAGCTGAGCTAGCTGCGCCCTCCACAACTAAGATTGAAGGACCACAAGCTGGCTCTTCCCCTTCTCCAATTCCCCAATAAAATCTTAAAAAAAAAAAAAAAAAAGACGTACCATTTCTAAGTATGTTGAGGAACAATAACTTAAAATAGGTAGTGTTTGTATAAATGTAAATTCCCTCAACACTGAAATCTGGGTTGATGCTTTTGGAATCTTGACTTCTTTGTTTTAAACCAATGTAAGAATTTAAAAGAATATAAATAACACTAATCTTTACTATTCTCTGACCAATCTTAGCTAAATGGAAGGAAATTTTTAAAAATTACTTTTCAGATCTGGAAAGTAATGAATATGAAAACTAGCTTTTTTGGGGTAAAGGATTGATTATAGATGTTTTTAATTTTCTGCTTTATTTTTTTACTGTCTGTAATGACAAATACTGTTTTTGTAATAAGGAAAGGAAACTTTTTAATCATTTTTCTAAAGTTGCAATCTACCTATAAATGCACAACTAAAAGATAAAGATTACTATGAATTATGGGAGTTTTTATTTATCTAGTGTTATAAACAAGTTTTTCATGAATATTCTTACAAGTTTCTTAATACTTTTATTTTATAGATATCCTATTTTAATCTTGTGAAGAGTTTAACATCCGCCTTTCCAAATATGTATAGTCTATCACGGTAAGTCTATAATCTGTATTGCAGCTACTAAAATTATTAGCCATATTTCCAGTAAATTTCTATTCTAAATTGTGGTGGGCTAGTCCAAAAAATCGAATATGTTGTTTAAATAAGTGCTACAATTATCTGCTCTGTGCGATCTCTGTCTTTTCAAAAAATGGGAGTAAAATTTAAACTCATCTCAGAACACAGTGACCATGGTTTAGTCTTTCTTTTATTTTGTGGGTTCTCAAGATCCTAGTTATAAAAATAATCAATTGATGTTTATTTTTATAATAGTAAACTATTATTGTTTAGTAAGAACAGAATTCTGTATGCTTTTCTAAATTATAATGATCTTTATGGATGCATGTGTAATTTCCAGCAAGTACCTGGGCTTAAATTGTCCATCATCTGACTCGACTACATATATAAGTATATGCATATGTGTGTAAATTATTACTTAAAAATGAAATTATCTCACTTAATAAAATAGCACTCAAACTTACATTGTGTGCATTTGTGCTTGTGCCAGGCTCTATCACACAACATCGGCCGTGGACTGTTGTAGTAAAACACGGAGTGGTGAGAAGTACACTGATCCTTTTAAACTTGGCTGGCGAGACTTGAAAGGTCTGTATGAGGACATTAGAAAGGTAAGACAGTTGTAATGATGCTGTGAAGTAATGTTGAGCTGTTAGAATTATGATAACAGTACAGGGTTCAGATATGTACCGTGCTTTGGCAAACTTGATTTCATGAATGTCAAGTTTCAGAAGTGCTTGTATCTTGAGCAACTATGGGGCAACATGGAGGACTCAATACACGTTACCATCCAGAAGGAGGTTGTTGCAGAATTGGGAAGCTGAAAACATGGTACAGGCAGCTCCTCCCTGTGCAGTGAGTTATCTAACATTTCCTCTCCATTACCTGCTCCATGACTGTTGAAACACTGAAGCCTTCTGCGATTCCTGCTGCCATCTTACCTAATTCTGAATGTTAGTGTCAGACTGCCCCAAATAGGACCTTCTTCATTAGACACTTGTCTCCCCCCAAAGTTTTAGTGGTTCCCAACCTCACACGAATTTTCAAATGCCTCCCAGAAATGTTCATATGCCCCGCGTCAGCTTCCTCCCCCTGTGGAGGTTCTCCACTTTTTCTCCTCCAGCCCCCACCCAACTCTGCTATTTTCATAGCAATACTACTTCCTGTTTGATGGGCCACGCAGACACCCTGAAGGAGGAACTCCGCCAAAGCCTGCTCTGTCGCCATGTACAAGCTCACCTGCACCCGTCTCAGTGCTCGCCTCCTTTCCTGCCACCTCCGTGAAATAAATGTCTCTTCCTTTCCAGAATAGTCCCTTTATTCTAGTTAGGCTGCGTCCCCTTCTCCTCCTCCCAGTTCCTTAGGAACTGCTCCCACAGTGGCCTGTTCTCCTTTTCTGCAGACTCTCCTTCATCTCTTGCCTATCCCTTTTAAGTCAAGGACCGTCCTTTGACCCTGGGTCCCCCCTTCCCTTCCATCACAGCAATGCTGTATCTCTATCTCTAGTTCGCCCCTCCACATTCTCTCCACCATCACACTGTGCCTTTCTTTCCAGCCTCTTCTCTAAAACCGCCTTTGCCCAGGACCTCGATAGCTTCCTTCTAGGAAATCCAATGGACGCTTTTTGGTTTTTATCTTCCTTGACTGTTTTGAACATTGGGCGCTCTTGACCACGCCCACCCTGTGATGTTATGCCCCTGGCTTCTCCACTTTCCTGGTTGTCCTCATTCTCAGGCCATCCTTCCATCTGTTTCCTGGGCTCCTCTCTGTCCCCTTCCCCCTACCCCCTTTAATTTTGCCATTCCCTGGGGTTCTGTCAGCCCCTCCCCTCTCTGTGTCCTCAGTTTACCCATTCCATACTTAACAACTCCCAAATAATCTCTCTATTCCAGGTTGACTTGTCACTCCTAAACCCAAACATATGCCTGCTCACTGAGTGCCCATGGCTGCCTCAGACGTCACATAGCTGAATCTCTGCTTCCTCCTAATTGTCTTCTCTCCAGTTTTTCCCACCCATTGAAGGTAACACTCAGGAACCCCGGAGAGATCCTCCACGCATCCCTCTCTTTCCCCCTCCATATCTCCCTAGTCTGTCCCTTGCCTGCAGTCCTACAGCCCCAGGTCAGGCCACCCCCACTTTTGTTGCCATCGCCCTTGCTCCCTTCCTCCCGATTTCAGCCTGAGCCAGAGGGGCCTCCTCCGTGACCCCTGGGGAACTGTCACTGCACTAACCTCAGGGACAGCACCCGTCACACTATTGTGTTTTATTGCACCTAATGTTTTATGCTCCCCATTTAGACTCTGAGCTCCTTGTAGGCAAGGGGCTGTCTTTTGTATTTTTATAACCTGTGCGTTTATTACCATTCTTGGCACTGAGTCAGTAATTTAGTGAGTTCATGACTGGCCGGCTGTATGGTGTTCCCCTGAGCCTGGCTGGGGTCCTCGGGGTCCATTCTTAGCTCCCACTGCTTCTGGGGGGATCCACTCTGATTCACAGCAGTAAATCCTCGAGTGGCTGATAAAACAAACATACCTCCCTCACCTGGAGGGTTCTCACGAATCAAGGCCCTACGTAATCCTTAACCCCGGTCAAAGCTTATCTCCTTTGTGAAACGTTGGGTTTTTCTAACTCACACCTTCTCTCTCTGTCCCTTCTTTGAACTTTTAATATATTTAATGAACAGGACTGTTCAAGTTACCACTGAAGACACTGAATATTTCTTTTGAAAAACAATTTTGTCTCCTCAATTCATTTGTAAGCTCCCTCCTTGCAATCAAGCAAACCATGTCTTACACTTCCTCTGTGGACCTTTGACGTGTCTTTTGCTAAATAAAGACTGAGCCAGACTTACCGTGGTGCTTCTCCCCAGCGGCCATCTTATCGTCCTGCGCCTGACACTACCCAGGACACCTCCTGCTTCATGGCTCCGGACAAATGCTGGCTCCCACACTTCCCGTCTTTGTCCTCTCCCCTCCATCTTTCAAGCTGCTAATCAGCCCCTGCTCCTTTCTCTATCCAGCTGTCACTGGCCCAGGGTGCTTGGGCCACCTAGGACTTCCCCCACCTTCCTGCTGTCTCTTAGAGTCAGTGGGGGTAGGGGACAGTGCTTGCTCTAGCACTTATGCCACTTGGAGCCAAGCCATGCATTGCTTGTGGCCCCGTCACATGGCAGCCAGGTTTGTGGCCATATCATGTTGGACCCTTTTCCAACTGACTTTTTAACATTCAATTAACATTCAATTAAAATGAATACACTGAAATCACATCCAAGTTTTGTAAAAGAAACCCTGTTGACTTTCTATGCAATCATGATGCCATATTGACACAGAAACTTTATTTTAGGAACTACTCATATCTCCAACGGAACTTAAAGAAATGTCTCAGTACTACTTTGATGGAAAAGGAAAAGCCTTCCGACCAATTATTGTGGTGCTAATGGCCCGAGCGTGTAATATTCATCATAACAACTCCCGGTGAGTCATTTACTTTCCCTCCTCTGTTGGTTTATATTCGGCAGGTCTTCCTTCCCAACATTACCATTTAGTTTCCTGTTTAAGGAGTAGCACGAATCTAAGAATGCACTTTGTGATGAGTAGATTCTGACTTGGAGTCACTAAGGTCACTCTGGAGTTTGGTCTGGGCACCTTCCTTTTGCGCCTTTTTTATGTCCATGGAAGAACAACTTCAGCTATAAATAAGCATTTTAGAAAGGAGTTTCAAAGACAAATCTCGTTTTCTCATTCAAAAGTAAAGACAGCCAGGTTGTATGCGTACATATAATCATTACCCACACGGGCCAGTTAGTCCAAAGGTTGGTGATTATAAAGTGATAAGCTGTGCCATGATTCTGGGCACCACACCCCTTAAGTACCTGCCTTCCTGTGGCATGCCAAAGGGAAGGCTTCTTAAAAGAGGGCATTTTGCCTGTGGGTCCTCAACTTTTATGTTTTGAATATATTAACAATTTGAAAATATTAAAACTGCAACATTTACTATTGAAGGAAAGGGAAGCTGATGTACCCATTACCTCCTGCAGCTGTCTTCATCATTCTCTCTTCCCCTCTCTTGTACTCAGTCATACAATATGTAAATAATTGTG